GTGGTGTAGGAAGCAAATCAAAGCCATGCATGAAGTTTTACAGGTTTCATACTTAATCCATCTAAGAAAAAAGAATTCTCCATTCAATTCCGTACATGGTAATATTTGTAATGTTTAAAATGATAGTATATGATATGGTGAGCAAGTGCCATTGTCATTGATCTGCTGGCTTCTACGTTATATGGCTAATGTTATTTTTGTGTAACTGCATAAGGTGTCATAGAAAAAGTAAATAGAAAGATCCATGTCTAGCATGAAGCCTTAAGTAGGTTAATTTCTTGATAAAATTGATGACTGAATTCAATTATATTATGCTATGGTTCAATTGTGAATCTGTAATAGCGATGCTTATTCGTGGTGTAAAAAACTGATATATGTTGCATAAACAATAGGTTGAAATATAATTAGCAGCGGTACCATATAACTCTATTTTAAATAAGCTTAGAGGCTATTATTTAGCATCGAGTTCATGTTTCAAGAAAAGAATAAACACAAAAAAGGAGCACGAGATTCAAAGCTGGAATCTTCCTACTCTTTTTAGTTGGGACAAAGCATCCTATCATATTGGTTTCTTCTCCATCCGGTCCTTCTTTTAGTTAACTTCCTCCCATATAGATGATTTACATACCTAGCTCAACATTTATGGAAAATAATCATATCAAACGTTCAGATGAGAATTGGCATTCAGTTTAGTGAAACCTAGGACCAGACCAAAATAATAGGAAGAAGCCAAGCTGTCTATGAGGTTGCCGTTTTTGCTGATGGACTAAAATGCAACATTAGCGACCTAGTTTGATGCGAAAACACATAGCAGGTGCTTTGAAACACTCACAAATGACTATTATTATTCGACCCATGCAAGAAGTTTGTGAGGTGCCATTGCAGGTTGGATTTTTAAGAATAAGAGAAGAGGCATAAAAAATGACTTGACTTAAAAGACAGATGCTGCCACAACAAGGTGAGAAAAAGAAAAAAAGCATAGTCTGAGGTAATGAATTGGAAGTAACCATAGAGGAGTGGAAGAGCAGTTGATGAATTCTGTACAGAAAGTAAGATATTTCTGTGAGTTGGAAGGTATAGAAAATAGGGCAACATTAGATCATCCTGAACAATGTTGGTCATGTAAATAAGATAGTCTCCGGAGTATGAATGTCAGGTATGTATATGTGATGATATGAGGAAAGGTGTCTCTTTGTTAAAGGTGGTGTTGAAGTGAGATGTGAGAGGAGCTTAAATGTTGATAAGTCTCTTCGCCAGCTTATAAGTATCATAATCTTTAGTCTTGTGGTAAAGGGTTCGCTTGGTGATCTCATTCTACATTTCAGTTTAAGGTAATATAGGAGATACTATGATGGCAAACATGATCTTGTTTACACTTTCTACGCCGGCAAGCACACATAAACACACACACACATATATATATATATATATATAATAATTGTGTTGACCTGCCGTGGACATTTGTTGGTTTTATATTTTCGTTTATGGAACAATCCATATTTTAACCTGTGAATACTGTTTGCTTGAACCATGGCATAGCATAATAAAGATAGCATTTGGACATTGCATCCACTGGTCATTTTTATTTTCTTTTGGAAGCAAAGAATGTTGCTACTATTTCCCTTCATAAAGAAAATCTCACCCAAGGTGTACATACATATATGCATTTTCATTTATATAATTCTAGGAAAAGTAGTAGTATCGCTTGGATATCTCTTTATGGATGAACTTCAAAGGGCTGGTCCTTTATCAGAAAAACATTGCATCCAATGGTCAACCAACATCACGAGATTCCTTTAATTTGTGTTCGTCGGTCATTAGAGCTCATTAGCGAGGTCATGCCTTTGTCTCTTGTCCTTGTTTTAGACTGTTCTTCAGTTTGCATTTAATCATCCTTTCTGTGAGTTGTTTGGGCAATATATCGGATTTTATTTAGGAGGAACTGTGCTTTATTAAATAACATAAACTATCTTGTATGTTTGATTCACAGTGCTTTCCCTGTCATTCTTCTGAGATTTCAGTGAACTAAAACTAATATCCTTGACGGGTTTACCTTGTGTCCAATTATGTGATTCTGTATTAGCATATTCTCATGGTCTCTCATGTAGTGATGAAGTTTACTTGAGCTGCAGTTAGTGGTGAATTTTTTTTTGAGAAGCAGTAGTGATCAATGTTGTCAGTCAAATGCCTCTTTCTTCTGATATTTTATTTTCAATCATCTTTTATCCTGTAAGTTGAACTACTTAATACTACGTAATTAGAAAAAAAGTTGTACTAGTAAATACTGAATTAGAATTAGTTCTGTGAACTGTTGTTCTCAACATGCCAATCACTCACTTGTGTCCACCTATGTGGAAACAATGCTCTTAACATATTTTGCATCTCAGCTCTTGATGCTCAATGTTAACGTGCCTTTTGGCTTGTGATTCTGTTCAATTCCTTTTAACCCCATCTTGTAATGTGATGTAGCACTTCTGGATGCTCATATGGGGAGGGATGCCACTTTCTTCACTATGTTCCTGGCTATAGTGCAATGAATCAAATATCAAACATGGGATCGAACCCAGCAGTTCCCGTTGGAAGGAATCGTGCCCCTTTTAGTGATGGTCCTGCTTCAACCATGAAGTCCAAGCTTTGCAGCAAGTATAACACTGCAGAAGGATGCAAGTTTGGTGATAAATGCCATTTTGCCCATAGTGAGATGGAGATTGGGAAGCCAGTGGCACCAGCTTACGATGATTTCCAAGCAGCAGGACCTCCGAGTAGGTTTCCTGGGTATCATAAACCATCCCAACCCAGTCCAGCTGCAACAAACTTTGGTGCATCTGCAACAACTACAATTAGCATAGATGCCGCTCTTGCTGGAACCATCATTGGGAGAAATGGCGTGAACTCAAAACAGATTTGTCGTCTTACTGGTGTCAAGCTCTCCATAAAGGAGCATGAAACGGATTCCAATATAAGGAACATTGAGCTCCAGGGAACGTTTGATCAGATTAATCAGGCCAGTGCTATGGTCCAGGAGGTCATATCAAATGTTGGCACCCCTACGGGTGGACCAAAAAACACTGGCCCATTTGCTCGTGGGCCTGCTGGCCCATTTAAGACAAAGATGTGTTCGAACTTCTCCAAAGGTTCATGCACTTTTGGAGAAAAATGCCATTTTGCTCATGGTGCTAGTGAGCTGCAGAAGCCTTTGGCTTGATCTTCACAGCTTTATGTATTAGCGAAGATTGTTTTACCACAGGAATTAGCGAACCTTGGAAATGCATGAAAGAGAATTATTTATTTGCACCGTATTAGCTTATCATGGTCTGAGTTTTGTCCAGTTGTATTACTAGCCAATTCTGTCACAGCTGGTTTTGTTACAATAGATAGAATAGTCCATAATTAAATGAGCATTTACGCGATATTCAATAAGTGCTGCTTTTCAGACGTCGAATGACTTGATCACCTTATAATGTATTTCTTTTATTGCAAAGGATCGATGGCTTTTGATTATCACGTTAACAAGCCTTTGTTAGGACTAAAATACAAGTCCTGAAAGATGACTGAATTAAATGGGAATTGCCAAAACGTGTGCGACGGCTCTTAATTATATCAAGTGTTGAAACTGAGTTCCTCGTGCTTTTTCCCATTTATCCTTGAATTGTATCTCTCATGCTGGTACTTCTTATTTCTCCAAGAAAAAGTAGTCTGTTACTAAAGATGAATGAGGAGTGACGAAACAAGGAATTTGCCACACATTGCGAGTTTTCACTCGATATAATATGTTAGCATACAAATACCTATTAATCCAACTCTTTTGCAATAAACCGCAGCTATTCCGATTGAAAGATGTCTTATTTTCGTACCCTTGGACACCGTTGCAGCCTTAGTTAAAAGTTTGAAACAGTATTTGGTTGACAATATGTGTTATCCAGAAACAATCCATCGGAGTGAATTGGATTGCAGTCTGACTTTCGATTCAGTATAATCATTAAAAGATACTTGAAGCAATAGAGAGAAAAGGAAACAACTCAAGTTAAAACGAAATGGTCGATCTTACAGGACTCTTGTGCTACGCCTTGATGCTCCATAGTGGCATGTACGTGCGGAGGCTTCCCTCTTCGCTTGGGTAGAAGTGTATGCATTTGGTTGTAAAAGGCCACACAAACTCTGCATTTGGTTGTAAAAGCCCACAGAAACTTAGAGGGAAGGGTCAAGCAGAGATGCAATATGAATCATTTCCCGCTATTTTCTCTCGAAGTGCCTGTGGGCTGTAGCCTTACACTTCCTTCTTTTGTTTTAACCCCTTACTTAGATGTCTGCCGGAGTGTTGAGGCAAGTAGATCAGTTATATCTCATGTTATTTATTATGATAGTAGGAGCTTTAAGCAGAATGATGGTCAGGGCAGCCATAAGAAGGCATTTGAGGCAAACAGGAAAAGCAGGGTATCTTGTGATGCAAAGACAGAACAGCTCAAGAGCTTAAAGGATATACTTCTGAAGATTAATTTGAAGCATGAAATCATCGTAGCAGGTGGGCGGATGAATTTAATAGTCTGCAGAAACTTTCTCATGACCAAAAAAAGTCATCTATCATTTAACAATTCCCACCTTTTCTTTTTCTCTTTCAATCTTCTTTTTGTACCCGCCACCCCTTGATTTCTCTCTGTCTCCCTTTTGGATTACAATGGGTTATGTCAGGAATTGATGCTACGATGGAAATTTAAAATGAAAGACTGAAGGAAAGAACGGGAGGTCAAACCCCCAGAGATCATGTGGAAAATATGAACAACCGAAGGGTTTTTGATGGAATAGAAAACTCTTTTGAACATATTGAGGAACGTTTTCGTGTTATTATATTTTCAGAGCACCTTTGAGATTTCGATTAGCACCAACAGTTGGATGCTTTCTGAAGAGAACCATATTTTTCTGTATGGTTTATTACATGGAGTATTTTCCATCATATCAATAACATAATCAACTTTATCCAGAAAAAGATAAAACCATAAAAATGTCATAGAAATTCTTCCTCAGCAACTTCCACTGATACAACTAACTCAACTTTAGCAGAAAATGTGCCTATTCCCTTTAAGGCTACAGAATTTTGTACATTGTGACCGCTTAATGACTTAATATTGCAACTAATTCTTTTTGAGAAAAGCTTATTATCATAATGTTTCAAATCCACCATTGGTAAATCTCTGAACTAGATGAAACTAAATATGTTATCACTTCCAACAAGGGAAACACCAATATCTTGACCAAATGTGAGAATACTGCCTACTTAAGTCACTGAGTTAGAGTTGGAAACTTACATTTGATGAACATGATAACATGAAAGTGTAATACTTCTTTAGGGAAGATAAATGGGAAATTATACCTCAATCATTCAAGGGCATCAGTTCAATCTTCTTCTTCTTGTTTCACGAAGAAGTCCACTATCTAAATCTGAAAGCCTCGAGAAACCGCTTCTCCTCCTGGAAGATAATGAAGATCGACTCACAGGCAGATTTCCAGCATCAGTTAGGTTTTCCAACTGAAGTGCAGCATCAGAAACTTCATTTGATTGAGAGGAAGGAACAGATGACGTAGCAGAGCTTGTCTCCACAATTGAATCCAGAGTCTGACGTTCTGATCGTATGATAGTAGCATCTCTTCTCAAAGAATCATCTTCATCAGCTGCAACCTGACTAATTGGTAAAACTTGCGAATTGTTTCTTTCGCGAATGCGGTCTGTGAGTGACGCTGTAAGGTCCTCAAACATCTGCTGTGCATTTTCTAATTCTGATGAAAGAGAGGCAGCACCCTCTGATAATACCCTCGGAAACACTCGTGACCGTAGTCCCCGGCTGCCTATGGGATCAGCATTTTGCAACTCGTGAGAGCTGCTCAGAGAACTCGAACTAACGTCACCAGTCGCAAGTTGCTGTGACGGGTGATCCCCCAATCCTATACTGGTCCTAATTCGCCTAAGTGCTTCTGTAACTGGGATATGAGATAAACCCCGAGTCACACGCTGCTGTCTAACACTCTCAACTCTATGTGCTTTTGGCCTTGGTGGTATTTTGAAACCACACTCCACAAGTTCTTTTGAGCAGTAACTGTGGCCATTACCATAAATTGGAGTAATATTTTCATCTATAACCTCTCCCTTGCAAACAGGACACTCTTTTGTACTCGAATCAACATAAGGCAACTGATAAAAGCATGACCAGCAATATAAATGGCCGCAACAAGTCAAGATAGGTTCTTTAGCCATATCTAAACATATATTACAATCAAAGAAGCTTCCACTTCCACCATCCTTACCTACTTTTTTAACCACTAAATCCATCTCCAATGCCTTTGCTACTAAATGGGATCTATCTCTTTTGCATCCTTTTTCTTGCTTCTCATTATCCACGTTATTATTAGCAATATCATCAGAAGAAGAATTACGAGCTTGGGAACGCCACCTATGGCGTTGCCAAGTTCGAGCTGCAACAGCCTCAAGCTGCAGAATTCTTTGCTCTATCCTACTAGCAGTTTCCAAATCATTCAACAAAGACCCTAATCCTAAAGCAGTACCAGAAGATGACTCCATAGGCTCCTGGTTCAAATCAAGATCCATTACTACACCATTCATCAAATTATCCGCCATCGAAGAAACCCTTTTCAAGTCTGTTTCGAAAAAGATAAAGCAAAAAAAAAAAAGAGAGTCGTAAATCAAAAGCATATGGTCTAAACAGGGGAAAACTGAACATTCAAGTCAATCTATAAAGAAAAGAGAGAGAAAAACAAATACTAAAAACCTGCATAAAAGAGATAATCCAGGAATCCGAATTAAAGGAGNGGAGGGAGGAGGAGGTTGAGGGTTGAGACGAGAAGGGAGGGAGGATAGATGGGTGATGGTTTGGCGCAAATTTTGGGCCAGTAGAATTGTGACTTGTGGGAGTAGAGGAGTCAAAAAGAGAAAAGAGAGTACGCAGTCAAATTGCTTGTATAGGCATTGAATGGGGTGCTCAAGAAAAATCTAAAGTTTGGTTGCTTTTCTCAAATTGTATTTTTTTGAGATCACTCTATTGCCGAAACACTTCATAATCGGGGTTGAAACATTTAGGTTTTTGGGAAAAGGCCTAAATATGCCATTGTATTTAGAGAAATTTTCATAAAGCACTGCTAGTTATCTATAGATACTATTTGCTATATTACGGATTATAGATACATTTTCTGTTGTTATTGTATTAGATGTATTTAAACTATTGTATTCATGAATATAGTAGAAAAAATAGGCATGAATCAGGGAAGTCCAGCTAATCAGTTGTTATATTCGAGTGTATTCGACTGTATTCGTGGCGTGAAACATGGGATTACAGCTGGACAGATTATTGTATTCGACTGTATTCACGGGGTGAAACGGAGAATTACACTGTTTTTACACGGAAAGTGAATCAATTAACATAATAGACTCCTAATATAACTCAACAAACTCAATTATAACACACAAATTTTGTATTTCCAGTTATAAAAAAGATTCTTAACCGAAAAATACCCCCAAAACATAGCAATCTTCAGAGAAATTATATAATACATCTGAATACATAAATTATATTAATTAAAAAAAAACATATAAATACATTCATGGCATATAGTGAGACAGTAAATACAATGAAATACATAGAATACAGCGGGATACATTAAAATACAATGAAAAAAAGATAGTGAATACAATGAAATACATGGAATACAACGAGATACATTGAATTATAATGGGAAAAAAGACAATGAATACAATGAAATACATGAAAAAACAGCATGATACGCTGAAAATACATTGAAATATATTAACATAAATTTGAGATGGGTGAGAGGAATTTGTCTCGGTTTTAGATGAAGGAGCAGCAAGGGACACCGAAACTGCCGTTGAAGATGCCATTTTCAGATCGAGGTTGACGAAACCCTAGATGGAATACTACTGGATCGAGATGATTCAGAGTGAGTGGAAAATGGGAACTATGTATCGAAACCCTAGCGAAGTAGAGAGAAAGAGCATGGGTTCTGGACAAATTGAAATTTGGGAAGGGTGATTAATGGTAGGTGATTTGCGTGTGAGGAATTTTGAGATTGAGCATCGTGTTTTCAGGGAATGGGGGAAGAGAATGACATGTATCAAAGAAGAGAGAGAAAGAAAATAATGTAACTGAATAGCGTATTTAGTGGCTTAGGGGTAGAAAGTAACCAAAATTAGATATTTTGCTATAAACATTAAAATGTATCTATACAATATAATTTTTTAAATGGTATTTATTTGGAATAAATAAGGTGTTAACCTTTGCTATAGGAGGTAAAAATTCCTTGTATTTAATGGAATGGCCTATCCATTGCCACTCGTTAATAATTGGGCATACTGGTGCCATGGACGTTACAACATTGGCCTATTTCAAAAATAGCCAGATTTACAAGTGGTCATAGTTTTAAAAGTAATCGAAATTTAGTCACTTTTTATGTAAAGATAAATCTGAACAAAAATACTGTTCAAAATTCGGAAAAATACTCTAGTATAATATATTGGAGTTCCAACATAAGTATATTATACTGAAACTTTCCGCGTGTTGGAGTTCTAGCATAATATGCTGAAAGTTAATACACAAGTGCACCGATCTCCCGTATATTATGCTGGAACTTTCCGTGTTGCAGCAAAATAGTGACTATTTTCAATGACTTTGCAAACACTGACTATTTTTGAATGACCAGTCCGAAAACTGGCTAGCCAGTGCTATTTTTACATTATTAACGGACAACTCATCCGGTTTTAAAAAAATGAAAATTAAATTTTTTAATACTAGTTTGGACACGTGTCAACTACCTAGACCACTACATGACTTGACCCCACTTCCCACTCTAACCTCAGTTACCCAACTAACCCAATCCTATTTTTTTTGTTACCCGATATTAATTCTCCCAAAATCCCATTTCATTTATTCTACAGAAAAGTGTCCACATCCTTTCCTGTNGGGGGAGGGATTAATATCGGTTAATAAAAAAGATGGGATTTGGTTAGTTGGGTAATTGGGGTTAGAGTGGGAAGTGGGCTCAAGTTATGTGGTGGTCTAGGTACTTGATACGTGTCAAAACTAGTGTTAAAAAATTAGATTTTCATCTTTTAATACCGGATGAGTTGTCCATTAATAATAGTGGAACAAATAGGCCAATCTTGTAATGTCTATGGCACCAATAGACCCAACTATTAACAAGTGGCATGAATAGGCAATTTCGCTAAGTACAATGGCATATTTAAAACATTTTCCCTCGATTTTTTCATATATAGAAGAAATTGGGAATCTTACATAAATGTCCCAAAAAGTCCCAACTTACCAACATCTAGCCATTAATCATAGACTTACTAAAACTAGCCAAACACATATAAAAATAAAAAAGCCAAAGAAATAAGGCTCTTTCTCTCCAAGAATCACACACAAAGATCTCATTCCATATTTTTAAGAGTGATTAGCAACTTTAGATGCAAAACGGAAAGGAAATTTCATGGATAATGTAGCAAATAAGGTGATGAAATACAAGAATATATATATATATATATATATATATATCCAAAAAACTAAGTAAAAAAGAATTTTTTTCAATGGGTATGGTTGAGATTCATTGAAAACATATAGATGAGTCAATATACAAAATTTGAGGAAGATTGGAGGTGAGGTGGACTGAATTGATATCAAAATTCGTAGTTAAAATCGAGTTCAAAAAGTTCTTCTGCTACACATGTATCACGCAGGTATAAATGGATATACATGTGATACACATTTGATACAAATATGATACTTATCTGATACACAAGTGATACACAGTCTATACACATATCATTTTTTCATGTTCATCTTCTATTTCGAATTTTCAATTCAAACCACCTGAAAACACTACCAAATCATTCCAAAACTGAGATTCAAGTTCCTTAAGATGTACCAAATCTATTCTGATAACACCTGCTCCAAAGAAAGTAAAAATTTAACTTTTTTGGCTATAAATAGCTAATTGGCTAATATAAATAATATTTTATGAATTGATCAATTTTTGTAATAAGCTATTTTCCTTAAAATATTCTAAACTTGTTTACCCGATTTTTGCAAGATTTTCATATTTTCAGACAATAGTTAGACCTTTTTTACAAAATATATACTCCCTTCATTCACTTTTACTTGTTTACTTTACTAAAAATACGTTTTCACTTTTGCTTGTCAACTACACTAAATTAAGAGAAGGATTTTCTTATTTTACCTTTATCATTAACTACTTAACCCCAAATTATTTTTCAAGGCCTTTTGAAATGCCTTATTAGGGGTTATATGGTAAAATACATACTACAATTATTATTTCTTAAGGGATGTGAAAAGTCCAAAGTAGACAAGTAAAAGTGAACGGAGGGAGTACAATTCAGTCCAATTACTTGCTTCGTCCTCATTTGATCTAGGATTGAAAATCCTACTAAATTCGCTCCAATATTTCACCAAATTATCCGAAATTTAGATATAAGCTCTTTAAAATATTTTCAAGTGTTCGCCACAATACTCAAATCAAATTCGATTTAGAGCAAGAGAGACAGACCACAAAAATCAGCGACAATCTTCGGTCATCTTCTACAACGGCACCAAATTAAAAAACACTGGAAAATATCTCCTTCAGCGACTTTTCTCGTACACATTTAAAAAAATTGTCAGAAATGGAACTCCAGATCTAAGAAAGAATAACTACATACCAATAAAGTGTCATGCCAATAGAGGAAGCAAAATTTGTTCTCTGCAAAATCTAGGAAGCAAAACCCATAATCTACTACATATGTCTACCGTTGGCGTTGTGACGACCCGACCTACCGCTCTGTTTTCCCTATCTATGCTTCTTTATGCTTTGTTTATCCATATTATGTGGTATCGGGTTGGTCGAATTGAATACGGAATGATTTAGGTAAGGTTTGAGACACTTAGTCTCTTTTGAGGAAGCTTAAGTTGGAAAAGTCAACCAGATGTTGACTTATATGTTAGAGGGCTCGGATGTGAGTTTCGATGGTTTGGTTAGCTTCGGGAGGTGATTTGGGACTTAGGAGCGCGATCGGATTGGGTTTTGGAGGTTTGGAGTAGATTTAGGCTTGAATTGACGAAGTTGATATTTTGGCGATTTCAGGTTGGTAGGCGAGATTTTGATATAGGGGTCGGAATGGAATTCTGAGAGTTGCAGTAGCTTCGTTGTGTCATTTGGGATGTGTGTGAAAAATTTCAGGTCATTCGGACGTGGTTTGGTTGGATTTTTTATCAAAAACGTAATTTAGAAGATTTTGGAATTCTTAGGCTTGAATCTGATGCGAATTTGGTGTTTTGATGTTGTTTTGAGCGTTCCGAAGATTGGAACTAGTTTGAATGAGGTTATGGGATATGTTGACATGTTTGGTTGAGGTTCCGGGGGCCTAGGGTGAGTTTCGGGTGGTGAATTGGACCATTTCATGAAGTTTAGAATTGCAGAAATCTGCTGCTCAGTGTTGCAGACAAATACTCTTCGCGTTCGCGAGAGGGGAGCCGCGATCGGGTAGGGTTAGCTGGAGAAGGCTGAGAATTTGGCCTTTACATTCGTGATGGAGGCTTCGCGTTCGCGAAGGGCTGGGAAATGATGCATCGCGTTCGTGAGGTCTGCTCCGCGTTCGCATAGAAGAAATTGGCCAGCTGGGTTTTGAGATATTTTGTTCATCGCGTTCGCGGGCGAGGGAGCACGTTCGCGAAGGTCTGTCTGGGCAAAGCGCGTTCGCGATGGGGTGGTCGCGATCACGGAGAAGAATTTTGGTCAACAGAATT